GCATACATTTACATACTGCGTACAAGTAATTAGCTTCTGTGTGGTCCACGTCTCGCAGTAGCCTGCAAGACGTGAGGAGGGGTGTTGGGATTTGCCATGTGTTTTACGAGTCATAGCGCTCTACCTACTGTTTTGGCACACTTGAGCGTTGACTGACTTTGCTGCCTGTTTCCTGCCTCTGCCTTCATGTAAGTGGGTCGCCGATAAGCCCAGCCAGCCTGCATGTCATCGTGGGTCGCCGATAGCCCAGTTCGCCAAGGCCACGTGCCTTTTCGTGTTCGCCTTCGTGTTTGCCTGCCTGCTTGTTTATGTTGGACCTCTCTGCCGCTCTTTTATCAACGCTCGTGATCTGTGGGACTCTGCTATCCACACAACAACTTCAACAGGTGCCAACAAACACAGAACAAGATGGAGAGATCGCCCGCGTCGCGGCAAGCGCCAAGAGAAGGATGCATTGCACCTCTCTCCCCAGTGTCCCCTTCTGCCGTTCCTCAGACTCAGAAGCACTCACAGAAGCGCAGCGCTGCACATGACGGGTACGTCAGCTCTCTCTCCGTTGAGGTCTCCTTCTCTGTCGGAGGTCTGTGGCTGTGTGCTGTTGATGCAGGTGCCATGATGTTGGCGGTGGTCTTGGCTGTCGTCCTGCTGACTTCTCAGTGTCTGCCCGGGGCGGCGTCGGCCTTTGTCCACCCGCCCCTTCGTCTCTCCCGCATCAACCGGGGCAGACTGCTGTTAGTGTACTCACAGATGACAGGCATCAAATCGCCCACCACGGTAGGTACTATCGTCTTGCGTGTCTTACCCGCAGCAGCATGCACCACAAGAACGCTGTGTGTGTGTGTGTGTGTGTCACAGCAGGGTGCGGGTAAGCAGCGGCGGATAGCTGACGTGGACAAGGAGCTCGGCAGCTTCGAACGGGACAGGTTCTTTATGGCCAAGTACAAGAAGTTTGAGGCGCTCAAGCAAAAAAAGAGGCAGCTCATCCAGCAGACCAAAGGCATACACGCACACACACACACACACCACATGAGTTTTCTCCGTCCCTCCCTCCCTGTCTGTCTGTGCGGTGTGGTCATCTATCGCTGTGCAGATCCGTCGTGGAAGAGGGCCTTGGAAGAGGCCGGTGCGGTAGCACTAGCTCTTCTTCTCATCGTGGTGATTAGCTACTCATTCATCGGGTTGGTGTTGATCAGCATCGACTGGCTTTTTGAGAAATAAGGGGATCAGTGCGTCGATCGAGGGGCGTGGACAGATCGGCCGAAGTGTGTGTACCAGTACATGTATGGCGGTATCGGGGGCGTTACTGCGCCTTCGCTTCAGTGTGTGTGTGTGTGGCTCGGATGTGTGTGTGGCTGTCGGACCGAGACGAGATGGGATTCTATGGCTGGCTGGCTGGCTGGCTGGCTGAAAGCAAGCCACTTGACGTGACTGGTTTTTGCGGTGTGCGCATCCATGTGTCGTCGAGACACACACTTGCGGCGGGCCGGTTGAAGGCCGTGCAGTGCACTCAGTGGTCTTGTCGCACTACTGTCATCGACGTCACTGATGCCCTGACAACACACAGAGAAGGACAGACGGACGGACAGACAGACAGACAATCGCCTCATTTGATTTGGTGGAGAGGGCTCGCTGACTATCTCTGCCGGCACAATAGTGACTGACCGGCGAGGGTCGACTGTGTGGGGTGTTGGCTATCTGCAGCTGCACCCGGTGGTCGGCCACACAGACACCTCACCTATGCCATCATCATGCAGCCAAGAGAGGTAAAGTGGATTCACTCACCTACACCGTCCTTGTGTTTGCGGTCGACGTCAAGTGCATTGCAGCGGGCCAGGCACCACACCGACAGCAGCACAAAGAGGAGTTTGATCGCTATCCTGGCTGCTCCGATCAATCGCTCTCGATGAACTATGATTCAGGATGGGGTGCAGTCATGGAGAATGTTCGACAGACAGGCCACGGAGGGGCAGGGCTTTCCTTCTCGGTTGTGGATAGGCCGTATGTGACGGAGGCAGGGAGGGGCTCTCCTCACACTGCTGGTCTTCACTTGCTGCAGACCTGTGGTTGCTTGATTTGTCCGCCCCTACGCCAAAGAAGCGTTGGCCTAACGGCTGACGGGCGTTATCAAATTTTAAATTGTCCGGCGACAAAAGAGCGAACGACAGTGTCACGACACCAAGGGCACCCTGCCTGCAGACCCATCGATGGCGCACCATCCTTCCCCTACACCGGCAGCCCCGCCCGCTGCAGAAGAAGCCGTCTGGATTATCCCCAACGACCACACCAAACTCCTGGCCTACCTGCGAGGGGCTATCACGCAGCTCAAGGCTCACATCCCAGGCGGCCCGGCCACCGACACCGACCTCATCGTGGAGCAGATGCTGCAGCCGGACGTGCTGGGGGTGCTTGCGTCGATGCGGAGCATGCAGCTCAGGGGCGAAATTAATATGCAGCAGACGTGCCGCCACTTCCAGGATCACATTCGGGGGGCCGTGTTGGCCGTCAGGAGGGAGAGGGAGAGGCACATGGGGCTGCAGACGATGCGAGACGCACCGGCAGCCACTATGATCAACGGTAGGCAGGCGAAACGGCGAAACGACAAAAGGGTTCAGATTGTGTGAGTGTGTGTGTCTTTGTGTGCAGGTGCCGCTCCTGAGAGGCCGTCGTCATGTCCGCCTCCCTCTCTCTCCTCCCCCTCCTCTGCCAGCCCCTCCCCGCAGCCCTCGCCACAGCAGCAGCCATCGCTGTCGATCCCGGCCATCCCCCCTCTGCCGTCCGCCCCACCACCCGCCTTTGTCCAGTACGTCAGCAAGCTCTTCCAGACGAGCAACTCGTCCGCTTCAGACACCCACGGCAAGTCCGCCGCCAAGCAGCCCAGCCCGACCATCGACCTGACGACGCCGAAGATGACAGACAGAGGAGAGAGGGCTGCTTGCGGGACTGGTGCTGGTGCTGGTGCTGGTGGTGGTGGTGGTGGACCGACGAGTGAAGCGTCACGGGAACCAGAGCAGCCTCACCACCCCATGCCATCGGCGGCAGACAAACCCTCTCCCCCCGTGCCCCAGCCCACTCCCGCCCCAGCAGCTAACCGCTCTTCCTCTGCGCCGTCCACCTCTACCTCTGTCCTGTGGGACAGCACCGCCAAGATGTGGTGGGCCACCTGGATGGACCCCGACGGCAACCAGCACACGCGGTCCTTTCCAACACACTCCTCTGCCGTCAGCTTCCTGCAGTGGATGGAGGGCCGCAGACCGGACGACGCCAAGGACTGGAAAGACCCGGTTGAGCCGCTACCAGACTTCAACGGACCCGTGTGGCGGCAGCTGTGGGAGATGGGTGCGGCGGGGCGTGCGGAGGAGTACATGCGGCTGCTGACGTGGGACGGCACCAGCTGGACGGCCCCCTGCCCCGGCCCCAGACCACCCGAGGGCGATGTTGCTGTGGTCGAGCGGCGAGCCGTCTTCAGAAGCGATGTGCTTGGGTTTGAGGTGGGTGGGGTGGGTGGGTTGATGTGATGCGTCACACACGGGGAAGGAAGGCGCTGACATGGTCTCTTGTCTCTCTGTCAGGGTGCGCGGAATCGTGCTATCAACTGGCTTCGCTCTTTGGCGGTCATGATGCGCAAGCAGAATGAGCTCCTTGGCGTCAGCAGCAAGAAGGGCACAGACAAAACAGGTATTTATGGAGGGGTGTTGTTTCTGGCTGGCTTCCTGCAGCACTCCCGTGCCTGCCTGTCTGTCTGTCTGTCTGTGTCCTTCATGTGTGCTGTGCAGACCCCTGCACCCCTCCCGAGGCTTCGTCACACTCGTCTTTGCCATCCACCCCGCCAGTCGAGCTGAGAGGTGCGCTGCAGGAATCGTGCACACACTGCTGCCCTGCCTGTGTTCGATGTGCCTGCCTCTCCGTCATCAGATTCGTGTGGTGCCGTTCCGTCCCCCCCAAAGCCCCCCGACGACTCGGAGAGCGAGGCCGCCCTGGCGCTGATCGCACTCTCCACATCCTCGTGGGCATCCGAGCCGTCACCCTCCCCCTCCCCCTCACCCCCTCCAGGCAGCTCCCATCACTCAGAGGACGACGAGCATGGTGGGGGCAGCAGGAGCGAGCCGTCGTGTCCATTGACCGCGGCGCATTCGCACTCACAACCCGAGACGCGTTTTTCAAGGCGGCGGGCCCTCGGCTCTGCGACGCGCAGCAGGAGGGGGGACGCGTCCTCGCTGATGGCGCCCCCACCAGCCACAGCGGCAGAGGATGATAATGACCCGCTCGGGCGCATCCTCTCGGCCCTTCCGACGGCTGACAACCTCAAAACGACCCTCAACCTCATGAAGGGCAAGAAGAAGCGGAGGCGGGCCGACGATGCCGGTCGTGGCTCCAAGAAGCGCGCCTCCAAGGAGCGGGCCCCCAACGGCAAGTTGTATGTGGCGCCGCTGCCGCCTCCTGCAGGCAGCGGCGTCAACCCACACACCAGCCCACACCTGCACCCACACCCATGGCCCATGCTAGGTGACGGCCCGGCAGCCCCGGGCGACGAGCAGCTGGCGGCCAAGCACAGCCCCCGCCGGAAGGCCAGGAAGCTGACTGTCTACGACCCCACCCGAGACACCTTTCTGCTCATCTCGCGAGGGCAGGTCGAGAGCGAGATCTCATGTCGAGAGGAGGGGGGCTATCAGAGGGCGAGGGAGGTGGCACAGAGGCAGGCGACAATTTGGCAGGCGACTGACCCGGCACCGATTGCCAGGATGGAGAGAGAGAGGGGCGGCGACACGCTTGACGACAAGCCGCTTGACGACAAGCCTGACAAGCTGTTGGTGCCGATTTTGAAGCCACCGGCCCCAGGGGGAGGGTGACTGCAGGCAGCGAGTCAGCGAGTGAGTGCAGCAGTGGGCCGAATGTGGCCCGTTGGCGCGTTTGTGTGTGTGTGTGTATGTGTGGATGCGCAGACAGACAAGACAGTGCGGGCATGACTCACTGAAGTGTATGCCACACCATACACTGGTCTGTGTGTTTATCAAAGGGGGCTCGAGGGAGGGAGGGAGGGAGGGAGGGGAGAGAGATGTGTTGTCTGTCTGTCGGTCGAAGTCTTTCGTTTCAAAGCCTGTTGATTGACATATTGCAGATGCGTGTCTCGATGATTGGTGTGCTGAAGTGTGCAGGGGAGAGGGCGTGGCGTGGCGTGGGAGATGTAGGATGTGGGTGTGTGTCTTTGATGACGCGGGCAGCCAGATCATATTATCAGGCTACCCATTCATTTGGACTGTGCTGCGCTGCTGTGGGTGCCGATTGACGTTGGTTGGTTCATGGCTGTGCGTGGCGTGCATGGCCCTAATTATTGCGAATTCCCTCTTGTGGTGTGGTGTGTGCATGTCTGTGTGTGGGTGGTGTCTTCTTACGAGAGGACTGGGGACGGCCTGTGACCCGCACCAAATGAAAACACTTTTCTCTCAGACAGACAGACAGGCAGGCAGGCATCTGGTCCATCACGATGGTTCATCGGAGAGGCATGCAGGCCACCAACGCACGCGCAACACAGAGAGGGCACAACACTCCTGCGACGTACAATTGCAAACGTCCTACAGACGCGCACACCAGGCCAACCAACAGCTGTCCCACCTCCTCCTCATACTAGCTAACGCAGCAAACACTCGTGCGTGGCCTCTCTCGTCGCGGGGGTGTGCGCCATGAGCTGCTCATGGAGCTGTGCACACACACGCGCGCATTCACGAAATTCGCAAACCCCACGCATTATTAGGGTTTAGCTGAGCACCTCAGCCGCCTTCCCGCCCCCCTGCAATGGGAGAAAGCCGCGCGATCGGCAATGAATGCGAGCTTAGAATGGCAAACGAGGCGAGTGAATGAAAAGGAACCCTGCTTGGTTCGGCTTTGTTCTGGCCCTCATCATCCCACGCGGCAACACGAGTCATCACCCTGCGTATCTCTCGCCGCCTGGCCCTCTCCGCTCACGCAGTCCCCTCATCGCGAGGCTCCGCCAGCATCTCGTGCTGCACATGATGCAGACACCGAAGGCTCCCGAAGGTCACATGGTCAAACAAGCGGCAGACGCCGGTGTTGGTGCGGTCAGCAAGCACCGGGATGATTTGTTTCAGGTACACACGCACGGCTGCGATGTCAGTGCTTTGTGCTCATGAGTGTCGTCCGGCTCCATGGCTGGATGGATGCGGTGCAGATGCAGCAGCATACTGCGGGGCTGTATGGCTGGTACCACGTGTTTCGGGAGAAGGATAGATACCTTGACAGGTCAACAAGGCAGGAAGGCAGACAGGCAGGCAGGCAGACAGGCAGGGAGCGTCCATCCATCGCCGGCCATCGTGTGTTGCTCATTTCATTCACTTGCAGACTGCAAGCCGACTACTGGGTGTCCCGAGGGGAGCTGTGCATGATGAAGGTCTTCAGGTGGTACATCCGCTCAGCTCTCTGGAACACGGGGTACTGCGACGAGGATATGATAGACCAGCTGGAGGATGAGGACATCATCCGGGCCATTGCCGACCACATCGAGTGGAGGGACGGCCGTCTGCACGCCTCTATCGACAGGTGGGTCAGTGAGTGACTGAGTGACTGAGTGAGTGTGGGCATCAGTCACTGACTGAGCGACAGACATCGATTAGACGCACACACACACACACACACGGATGGGGTGGGTGTGTTGTCTGTCTTGTTGGTCTCCCTCCTGTCTGTCTGTCTGTCTGTCTGTCTGTCTGCATCGCATCCATATATATATCATCCATCAGCAAGCTGCTCACGATGGTGGAGTGTCATCGCGCCGCGCAGGAGGACTGCCAGGACACGAGGAGCTTTGCGGACTTCTACATTGACTTGTTCCACGCTATCGGCGAGCCAGAACGTGTGTGTGCCTGTGTCGCATGCACTTGTCTGTCTGCCTGCCTGCCTGCCTGTCTGTCTCTCATCCATCCCTGTGTCTGTGGGTGTCTGTGCGTGTCTGTGTGTGTCTGTGTGTGTGTGTGTGTAGGTTTCGACAGCACCAAGAGGCGGAACAGCACCAAGAGGCGGAAAAAGTACAACGGCAGCCTTATGGGGCTGTACATCCCTCCGATGGGCTGGGCTTACGTATCTACAATATCTTCGTTGGCCGGCTCTATGGGCATCCCCTGCGTGGAAGATGAGACACCCCCGGACCTCTTGCCAGGGGGCTTTGAGGTGCTGACAGAGACACTGTCAGGCAGACCGTAGGTAGTTGAAGGAAGGAGGAAGGAACCAACCACTGTGAGGGAGTGAGGTACGTCTGTCTACCCTTCTGCTATAGATAGATCATGAAGACTCTTTCTTAGTTGGTGAAGCAAGCGTAGCGAGCCGTTCATAATCGTGTGTGATTTACTTACGGGTGGGATGGATGGATGGATGGAGTAGCTGCCTTTGCTGTGCTGTGCGCGTGTGTGTTCGTGTGTGTGTTGGTGCCGGTATGACATCAAATGCATCCGATCCATCAACATACTTGAGACAGACAGACAGACAGACACGAGTTTGTTTGGTCCATACGTCCATCCATCATCACCATACAAGGCACAGCACCACACACAGGGGTACCCACACGCTCAATCAGCTGCACGCAATAGACAGCTGGCTTAATTCCTTGCCCTCTCTCTCAGCCTGTCTGTCTACCGACCGATGAGATGACTGATCGCAGAGGCAGGCAGGCAGGCAGGCCACCAACACACACACGTACCATGATAGATAAGGCGCCCCACGGACACACCGCACCACCACCACCACCAGAGCAGAGCAGCCGATATGGTGGTCTGTCTATTTCCCTTCATGAGCCGGCCGATGCCGAGGACGCCGGCCCTGGCGCATTACCGTTGGCCGATGCCGCTGCAGCCGCAGATGCGGCCCCGCCGCCCCCACCGCTGCTCTTGAGCCACTCCTCGTGCGCCTTCTTATGCTTGACCAAAAACTGACAACAATGGATAAGACACAACACACAACACACAACACAACACAATGGGCGATGGATGGATGGATGGTGCATCCAATGCATTGCATTCCATCCCATCCCTCCCTGCCCCCCTGCCCCCCTCTCTGTGTCTGTCTTCTGCTATTTATGCGTGTGTACCTTGCGCATCTTGTCCCTCTGCGACTTGGACACGGGCTCTCCCTTGGCGTCGAGCGTGGGCAGCCCCTCGCCATCGAACTCGCTGAACTCGTCAGCCTTGAAGGTGGAGTAGTACTGCTCGGTCGGCACACGCGCCTCGGCCTCCTTCTTGGCACGCTGCTGGGCCTGTGGTTGATGCGGGCGGGACACACACAGTGAGTGAGTGGTGGCTGAGGGAGTGTGTGTGTGTGTGTGGAGGCTGGCTGGTGCGTACCAGCTGCCGTGCGGCTTCCTCTTTTTGTTTTCGCTTCTGGTCCTCCTCTTCCTGCTTCCTCTGCCGCTCCGCCAGCAGCTGCTCCCTGGTCGATTGATTGATGCACACACACACACATACACACACAGACACACACACACATAGACAGACATAAACAGAGAGCTACATGTGCCGTGCAGCCAAAGCCACCCATCCACTCACTTGGAGACTTTGTTCCAGATGTAGCCATCGGGCCTGTCCTCCAGCTGAATGCCAAGGTTCGGCAGCTCCTCGTCACGCAGGCTGTCGCACTGGCACAGAATCCCCTTGGCCAGATCCTTGACCGACCCATCTGTGTCGGAGACTCCTGCTGCTGCTGCTGCTGCTGGTGGTGGGACACCATTGTGGGCCGATGATGCGGCCTTGAGGATCTTCTGGGCACTCAGGCGCGTCTGTTGGATGGATGGATCAACACGCAAGATGGATGGATGTGTGGATGTGTGTACGTGTCGTCTGAAGTTGGCGAGGCAGTCGACGATGGGCTCGATGGCCTTCTGGTCGTCGGCCGCCTCGCCGCCGTCATAGTTGAGCTCCTCGACGTCACCCACAACCACACCGAACACCTGCACACACACACACACAGAGAGAGAGAGAGAGAGGTGATACCCAGTGAGTGGGGCAGCCAGGCGCTCAGGAGGCTGAACGGACCTTCATCATTTTGAAGGCGAATGTGGCTGCCTTTTGGACGAGGGGAATGCGGATGTGACCCTCGCTGGTTTCGTTGATGTACGTGTTGACCTCCGACATGATCGACTGCACGCACCATACAGACACCCACCACACACGACACACGACACACACATCCACATCCACACGCATGCTTGTCGCCTCTCTGAGCTGATCTGATGCGCGTACGCACCTGCAACGCGAGCATCGCCTGTGGTGTGTTGAAGTTGTCACACAGAGCCATGTGCACCTGACCAACATGAGAACATAACACACCCACACCCACAGTCACAACCAACCCATTATCCATCCAGCCCTCCATTCTCTCTGTCTGCTCACGTCGTTGATCCTCTGGTCGATGGCGTCGGCGAGTTTCTGCTCCTGCGGCCGCCACTTCTGCTCGTCCTTGAGGGAGGTCTTGCGCATGAAGTTATTGACGAAGCCGAAGAACTTCATGAACTTGGTGTCGATGTCGATCGCCTGACGCATGCCCTCCACACCGGGCGTGAAGTTCATCTCACTGTCCCATCTACACAGACACACACACAGAGGGAGGGAGGGAGGGAGGGAGGGAGAGAGGGAGGCCATCTGTCTCTGTGTGTGGTGTGGTGTCTGTGTGTGTTGGGTGGGTGCGGTGCATCACCTACCTATTGATGAGGCAAAGGATGCGGATATGTCTTGGGCGGATGAGGGGGTCATCGAGGGCCTGCTTAATGGTGGTGAAGTTCTTGAGGCTCTTGCTCATCTTCTGGTGATTGATGTTCAGGTGACCCGTGTGCAGAAAGTAATTGACCTACACAGCACACACAACCCACACCTGCCTGGCCTGCTTATTTCTATGCAGTGCACCACACGTACCCATTGTGGCTTGTCGAAGCAAGCCTCGGACTGCGCCAGCTCGTTGTCGTGGTGCGGGAAGCGCAGGTCGATGCCGCCACTGTGGATGTCGATCGGGAAACCAAGAATCTCACTTGCCATCGCAGAGCACTCTATGTGCCAACCTGATGACACACAAAACACCACACAACAACACATATCTGTCTGTCTGTCTGTCTGTGTGTGTGTCTGTCTGTGTGTCTGTGGTGGTGGTGTGGTGACAGACCGGGCCGCCCCTCGCCCCATGGTGATGGCCAGGAGGGCTCGCCAGGTTTTGCCTTCTTCCAGAGGGCAAAGTCGAAGGGGTTGCGCTTGTGGCTGACGAAACCCAACTCGCCCTCCCCCTCAAGCACCCTGTGTGGCCGGCCGGCACAAACAGACACACAGTCACGCACGCGGCATCCCTGCCTCCCTCCCTCCCTCCCTCCCTCTGCACACACCTGTTCTGGTCGTTGATCGACCAGGGCTCCATGCGCCCGTACACGTGCTGACCGCTGCTCTTGAAGGCCTGCACACACACACAGACAACAGCACAGCAGAGAATGTGTGGTGGTCGGCCGGTCGGTTGCTTCTTCGCTGCCCTGCAGGCTGTGGTCTGTCTGGTCAGCTCACTCACCGCCACATCGAAGTAGACGGACCCGCTGGACTCGTAGGCGTATTTGTTGTCGATGATCTTCTGGATGAACCCCACCACCTCGTCCACATACTCAGACACCCTGGTGATGACGTCCGGCGCCATCACGTTCAAGGCCGCCATGTCACTCCAGAACTCCGCCTCCCAGTGCCGCGCCAGCTCCCTGAAGTCGCCCCCGCCCTCCTGGCTCCGCTTGATGATCTTGTCGTCGATGTCGGTGATATTCATGACCATCTTAACGTCATAGCCGAAGTACTCACCCATAATGCGCCGCAGGATGTCGAAGCCAACGTAGGTCCGCGCGTGGCCAAGGTGCGCGGCGTCGTAGACGGTCGGGCCGCAGCCGTACCACTTGACGGTGCGGCCGCTGTGGGGAATGAACTCGGTTTTCTGCCCGGTGAGGCTGTTGCTCATGTGCAGGCCTGTGACGAACTTGCCTTCACGAGATGGCGGGTTCCACGGAGGGAGGCGAGATCTCTCGGCTGAGGCCGCTGAGGCCGCTGGAGCGTCCCCCATGCAGCTGACCGGCGAGGCAGGACGATGCGTCACAGCTGGATGAAGGAAAGCGCGACGAACTGGACCAAAGCTCCTTGTTGCTGCTGAGATCTCATACAGCATACACTGTCTACGGTGTCTACTGTCTACGTTCGGCTTTTGCCAGAAAAGACAAAAGCTCGCAGATCGCGTCTTTCCTGCGAGCTTGAAAACGACGCAGGCTGTGGAGGATGGCGATTGTTGCGTGAGGGCACCAGCTGTGGCAGTCCAAGTGTTCCCAGATCCCAGCGCAATTGGCTCCAGAATGGCGCAGATCTTTGTCCGTGGGTGTGGCGGCGAGACCCTGCCGGTGGATGTGACCGCCGACACCACCATCGCCCACATCAAGGGGACCCTCGAGAGCACCTACGGTCGGTGGGGAGGGAGGGAGGGAGGGAGTGGTGGCACGCGGGCATGACGTCTGCTGTGCTGTGGCTGTGTTTGGTTCAGGCATCCCCGTGTGTGAGCAGAGGCTGGTTTATGGCTCCTTCTCTCAGCTCGAGGATGACTTCACTCTCGCCGACTACGGCATCCAACAGGTGGGTGGGCTGGGGTTGGTCTGTCCGTATTCACTCCACACACACGAGACCCTCACCTACACACTGTGAGCTGTGTGGTTGGTTGGTTTGTGTTGTGCTGTGTGCAGGAGGCGACCCTGTTTGTGGTGACGGGAGATCTGTTGGGCGGCGGCAAGAAGCGGAAGAAGAAGACCTACACCAAACCAAAGAAACCAAAACACAAAAAGAAGAAGGTCGGTCGGTCATCCGCCAGACAGACAGACGTGCTCACCTCTCTTTCTCTCTCTGTGTTGTCTGTCTGTGTGTGGTTGTGGTTGTGCAGGTGAAGTTGGCGATTTTGAAGTACTACAAGGTGGACAACGCGGGCAAGGTTTCCCGTCTGCGGAAGGAGTGCCCCGCCGAGATCTGCGGCAGCGGCATTTTCTTCGCAAACCACTTCGACCGCTTCTACTGCGGCAAGTGCGGACTCACCTACAAGAAGGTGAGTGAGAGAGTGACCTAACTAGGGCACATCACTCACATAGCGTAGATAGATGGTCGGCCTGGTCAGCGCACATGGTGTCGTCTATGCCATTCCATCTCATCTGCCGTCTGTGTCCGTGTCTGTGGTTGCTTTGCTTTTAGGACATGGAGGGCGGCGGCCAGGAGGCTGGCGGTGGTGAGGGGGGCGGCGGCGGCAAGAAGGGCAAGAAGGGCAAGGCGTAGATGGATGGATGGATGCCCTCCCGCGCGCCTTGCCTGTGTGTGGCGGGTGTGGTGTGTGGTGTGTGCGCGGCGCGTTCACTGCCGTGATGCGACAGATACGTGCGTGTGAGTGGTTTCAAAGGACGGGCCTCGATGTGCATTGCGTGTGGTGGATGCGTATCGTGTCGCCCTGACTCGTGACGTCAAGCTCTTCGCCTTCTGACTGACGAAATGCCGACCGACCGATCCTTCTGAATCCACGCGATTGTTGTAAAAGCGACACAGGGCGAGCTGTACAGTAGGCACGACATGCATCCCTCGCTACTCAGTCCTGACTCACTGCCGTCCGATGGCAAAAATCATTCATTCGTGAAGCTTGCTGTGCGGACATCTACAACGGGGTGGGATGGGGTGGGGGAAAAAAGATTGCCCTGCCCTGCCTTCATCAATCCATGCCATCAGGCGCTCCTCTGCCCCTCACTGCGGCTGCACAGCCACCGGGGCCACTGAGCTGCCGCCGCCGCCCCCTGTCATCCTTGTCCACATGCTGGGCGGCTGCGCGAAGGTAACATCTTGCTGTTCCAGCTGCTGCTGCCTGTTGGCAAAGCGGATGAAGACCTGCTCGAGTGTCGGCTGCGACAGCGAGTACTCGCGTATCCGCAGGGCGGCCTTCCTCTCCTGCAGCACCTGGAACATGCCCCCCAGCTGCCCTCGCCGTGCTCGTGCAGAGAAGGGTATCTCGTAAAGCAGTCGCCGGCCGAACCGGTCCTTGAGCACGGCCTCGCCCGACAGCTCCGCACGCACCATGCCGTCCACACGGGCGAACCAGCCGTCCTCTCCCCCTCCCCCTCCCCCTCTATCGCTCTCCTCCTCCCCCTGGATCTCCAGCTTGTACGCCTGGCCGTATCTGCCCTTGATGCTGAGAGAAGACCCCAGGCAGTGCAGCCGGCCATTGACCATGATGCCCAGCCGGGTGCAGAGGGCGTCGGCCTCCTCCATCGAGTGGGTGGTAAGGAGGATGGCGGGGGGATGGGTGCGGCACCTGGCGAGCCGCTGGATGGCGGACCAGAGCCGGCGGCGGCCCTGGGGGTCCATTCCGGACGAAGGCTCGTCCAGGATGACTATGTCTGGACCACCCATGAAGGCGATCGCCACACTCAACCGACGCCTGATGGATGGATGGATGGAGAGAGAGAGAGAGAGAGAGACATGGAAAAGGGTGTGTGGATATGCGCGTGTGTGCGTACCTGGTCCCTCCGCTGCATTTGTGGATGACCTTGTGAGCGTCCTCGAGGATGCCCATCTCGCGGAGCGCCTCAGAAACGCGCCCCTCCAGCTCCCTCTGCGGCACCCCCTTGATCCTCGCAAACACCCGCAGCTGCTCGACCACAGTGATGTCACGTGTGCACGCATCGAACTGCGGACAGACGCCCAGCTGCGGGAACGCCTTGCTGATGGAGGTGCGGATGTTATGGCCCCCGAGGTAGCCCCCGCCAGCAGTGGGCGGCCGCACCTGCGCCGTCAGCAGGCTGATCGTGGTCGTCTTGCCCGCGCCGTTGGGGCCGAGGAGGCCGAAGACCTCCCCCCGCCCCACAGAGAAGGACAGCCCCCGGACCGCCCACTTTGGTGGGGATGTGGTGATCTTGGGCACATAGACGTGATGCAGGTCGTGTAAGAGGATCAGTGGGGGGTGGTCCTCTGGCCGGGGGGGAGACGGGGAAGCGAACCGCTCCACCCATCTTGCGACGTCCGCCTCCTCCTTGGTGACGTCTTCATCGGTCACCTGGGCGTCTTCCCTCTCTGCGGCTGTGGCTGTGGCTGTGGCTGCAGCGGCGGTCTGCTGAAAGAAGCGGAGCAGGTGCTGCGCCTTGGTGGTCATCATGGTGTTGGCCCTGTTGTAGGACCGATACTCGAAGACGGCCAGCAGGACGAACAGCGCCACATTGTGCACGAGCATGGCCAGGAGGGGGTAGGCCGCGTAGTTGTCAAATTCGAGGTAGTCGACGAGTGTCGGCTGCACGTTCAGGAAGTTGGCCTCCAGACCGATAAGCATGAGGTAGAGCATCAGGCCCAGCAGTGTGTATGGGGGCGAGAGGAAGGACACCCACACGTGCATGGCGTGGCCGACGTGCTGCCCGCCGGGGAACTGCTGCGTGACCGCCACAATCATCAGGGGGAACACGCCGAGGGAATGGTTGAGCAGCGGGAAGTACTTCATCAGCGCGTCGCGTGTCGGGAAGATGAACGACGCCACGTACGCGTAGAAGAGGGTGCTGCTCGAGTAGAGCAGCAGGCCCGCCGCGAACACCCACAGCGCCACACCCTGGAAGAAATCCAGGCGGAAGGAGGCCACCATGGCGAGCATCGCACACGCGATCGTCAGCATGATGATGTAGTGGACGAACCAGGTGCCCAGCCAGTACAGGGGGATGGGCAGCCCCGCCACGAAGAGGGAATGCTTGCCGCCCAGCTCTCTGTCAGCCACGGCCTGGACAGCGAACCCATTTGGCACGAGCAGCAGGCCAATGCCCACGAGCAGCAGGAAGCTGAGCATCCTGGGGGAGATCTCCACGTACGGGGTCGGCACCGGCTCGCTCGTGATGGACAAAGTGGGAGATGGGGGGGCCGGCGCCTCCGTCCCTCCCCCCTGCTGTTGCCCCTCTGTCGCACCCATCCGCCTCTTGACCAGCCGCCGGTTGCCCCATAGGCGCATCGAAAACGCCGATCGAAAGGGGTGGGCGAGCATCCTGGCCAGTCTCCGCCGCTCCCTCGTACTCAGCCTCGGTAGCTGTAGCAGCCACAGAGCCCGGTCGTTGCTGGCGCGTTTGGTGTCGGCCTGGTATCGCATCCATCCCTCGTTGAGCGTGGCGAGCATCGACGGCACCCCGTGGATGACGGCGGGGTTCCACAACACACGGACAGTGACGCCATTGCCGCTGCTGGGGGCGGTTGCATTGGATTGTTGGCTGGAGGGCTCGAATACTAGTGCAGAGGGGTAGAAGTGAAAGTCCCGTTCGTCCGAAGAGCCACTTCGGGCCCACAGGTATTGCTGCATGGCGTGTATCGCGTCTTTCTCTCGTGTCGCATTCCCATCCGCATTCTCATTCTCATGTGGCGCCACGTCGAGAGCAAAGAACTGGTTGCTGAGCCTGGTCGACGCCAGCCAGCCGCGCAATGACTCCTGTGCGGTCGCAGGGATCGTTGGATCGACGGCATAGGGGATGGGCGTCCCGTTGAAGACACGGCCGTAGTCGAGGACGGGGAGCGCAGGGGGCGTCCACTTGCTGTCCTGCTCGCCGGCGTCTCGCAGGAAGCTGGAGCGGCGCATGAACATGCCGCAGAGGACGAACAAGAGGGGCAGGTAGACCTCGATGAAGAGCAGCCGCTTGTTGTTGCGGATCTGGGCTAGGCGCAGGTCGACCAGGGCGAGGAAGCACTGCCACCAGCTGCCTCGCGGCCGACCTTGGTCGCCCTTGGGCCTTTGCTCCGCCGCCCTCTCCTCCTTGCTGGCGTCGGATGTGGCGCCATCGGCATCATCATCCTGCTCGTCCCTGACCATGGTAGCCTGGTAGTCGCTGCCACGCCCCCGTCTCCGTCCGCCATTCGTGGCCGTGGGAGACGCGTCATCCTCTGAAGATGGAGGCTGAGCACCGTTCTGGGCGTGCGCATCTGCACCTGCGAGTGGGGACTGGTCGGCGGACGCCTCGGCCTCGATGGCGTCCTCCTGATCCCCAAGCTTGCAGAATATCTCCTCCAAAGAGGACATGGACATGCCGAAATCGTCGATGGCCAGCTCCTCCCTGTTGGTCTCGAGGTCCTTCAGGAGAGCCGCGAAGGAGTCGGCGGCCGCCAAAGGGAGGGCGAACGTCACGATGTCGCCGCGCCGTCGAGCACTGGCATATGACGGCGGTTGAGCAGATGTGGGCGAGCTAGCAATTGACCGGGCATTTGTGGCTCGTGATGGGGATGTTGACGGGGATGGCGAACCGTCCCGGAACGCCCCCGCACCTCCCTCCATCAGTGTAGCGTCGGCCACATGCCGCTTGACGAAGCCGAGCAGCCGGTCGGTGGAGCACTGCTGCGGCCGGCTGGGCTGTATCTCCAGGTAGTACCCGATGCCGAACGTGGTCTTGAGGAAGAGGGACGAGCCGACGCACTGCAGTCGGCCCTTGGAGAGGACGCCCTTGCGGTCGGCCAGGAGGTCGGCCTCCTCCATGTGGTGGGTGGTGAGGATGACGCAGCGGCCCTGCGCCTTGTGCTCCTCTATCAGCTGCCACACTTGACGGCGGGCCAATGGGTCCATCCCTGAGCAAAAGGCTGAGCGAATCGACCCGTGTATGTCATGCTGTCTCACACACAGACGTACCTGAGGTCGGTTCGTCAAGGAAGACGACTTTGGCGCTGCCCATGAGTGCGATGGCCACCCAGAGTCGCCTCTTCTGCCCTCCACTGAGGTCGGTGACCATGGTCTTGAGCTTGTCCCCCAGCTGCACCTTCTCCACCAGCCGCTCCCACTCCCGCCGCCCCTCTTGCCACGACATGCCCTTGAGGCCCGCGAAGAACATCAGGTGCTCCTCGACTGTGAGGTCCTCGAAGAAGATGTTTTCCTGGGGGCAGACGGAGATGTGCTGGCGGATGTCGTCCATGTGGGTGGAGAGGGGGAGGCCGAAGACGGTGGCGTCGCCTGATGTGGGCTGCAGGAGGCCCGTGAGGATGTGGATGGTCGTCGACTTGCCGGCCCCATTGTGGCCGAGCAGCGCGAAGACCTCGTGGGTGTTGAGCGTCAGGGACAGGTTGTCCACCGCCACCTTCTTCCGATCACGCCCTGACAACAAACAAACATGGCAGACGCCTCAAGCATCCATCCCCCACCCATTCAATCGATCTTGATGGGACAAGGCCTACATGTGGCAGGGAACTCCTTCCTCAGGCCCATAATCTCGATGGCCACGCCACGGCCGCCCTGCCTGGTCACCTCCCGCACCTCCCTCGCCTCCCTCCGTCGGCCGCACAGCCCTCCCCTGGCCCACCACCATGTGACAGGGAAGTGCCATGGCTTGGTGGTGCCGATGTCCTGCGGCACCACCTGGTCCAAATAGGCCGCGAGAAGAAGGTAGACGAGGGTGTCGATGAGGAGCATGACGACCGACAGGCCGACAGTTGTGTGGGGGTGGAACATGTTGGAGAAGGTCGCACCACCTGCAGGTAGGCAAGGGAGGGAGAGACGGGGTAGATGAAGGCGTGACGTGTGTCAGTTGCTTCAGTTGTGTGTCTGCTGACCTTGCGCCGACATTGTGAGGGCGTCGTACGTGCCCATGGAGAAGGACACAGTCGAAAGCGACGATAGCTGACCCACATTCACACACACACACACACACACACACAGAGAGAGAGAGAAAGGGATGTGCATGGACCCCACCACCTACACTCGCCTCCCTCCGTGCCTGCTTACCACCACTCTGCTCGCAAAGCCGAGGCTGTCCCTCCAGACCGAGTTGATGGGTATGGCCACCAGGTTGAGCACAATGCTGGTGAAGTAGCCCACCACCGAGGCCCCCCTGGCCTTGTTGAAGAACACGCTCACCAGGAAGGCGAAGGTGACCAGGGACATGGCGTATAGATAAAAGAGCAGGAACAGCAGCAAGACAGAGGGGCGGGGGCCGAAGACGCCGCTGAGGTAGGACACCGCGACGGCGATGAGTGCGAGCAGGGCGTTGAAGACGCCGTATGTGAGCGTCCAGGACAGCCAGAACAGAGGCGTGGACAGGCCCATCATTCGCATCATCTCCTTCAACCTGCGCACAGGCAGGGGAACCATCCATGCCTGTACATCTATGTCCCCATTCCATTCTCGCTGTCCTACTTGTTTTCCTTCTCCGTCACGACGTCATAAACCACATAGGTGAAGAGAGTCAGAAAGCTCAGTATCAGATAAAGGGGGGCGAAGTTCTGCAGACCCGAGAGCTTCAGCCCGCTAATTGTCAACGCGTGCTGCGGAAACATGTCCAGTGCATACGAGATCGTCACCCGCTCGCTCTCATCGTCAACAGCAGTGGCATCGCCCGCCGCCGGATCCTCCACCACCCAGTCGTCAGCATCATCGGATGACTCATGGGAACTCCGCCCTCCATTCACCAGAGAGAAGGAAACAGATGGGGAACGAGACGACGCCTCCCCACTGGCCTCACTGCCGTTGCTATGGTCATCCTCAGCAGCAGCAGCGCTCATCCGCATGGCCGCCCGGCTGACGGCCGTCTGGATGTCCAGGAACCCCTGCCGCTGGTACTGCAGGGCGATGCACTGAGTGAACGTCGTGTGCACGCCCTTCTGCTGGGCAAAGAGAGGCTTCAAGTACTTGCGGCACTGGGTGGGGTCGCTGACGACCTTTGCCGACGTGTCAGGCACCTCGTTGGAATAGAAGCGGATGGAGATGTCGTAGACATCGGCAGTGGGGTCGATTCGCTTCACTAGCAGACCACACCAGTAGCTCTCGAAGTCGGTCCTCATGGCCGCCTGGAGCATCGCATTCGACTCGACGTGCAGAACGTGGCTGCTCACATCGATGTCATAGCCATACTTGTCCAGCTGGCTCGTCAGCAGCGAGGCCGTCAGATTCATCAGCCGATACGCATCATCCTCGCACACCCCCGCTGCCCTCCCCACCAGGATCGTCCGGTTGACATGGGAGGCCGTGGGCACCTCCAGCAGCCTCCTGAAGGCCGCATGCTCGTCCCACGGCGCTCGCCTCTCGACATAAGTGGTGTCTGGTGCCGTCAGCTTTGCCAGCGCAATGATGCCAGTCCAGAAGACGGTCTGATAGATGAGGTTGCGGAGCTGCTGACTCTTGCGCTTGCGGACGAGCCAGTGCTTCCACATGATGATGGGCAAGAGAATGCGCCACGAGGATGTGGCGGGACGGGAGGGCGGTCGGGGAGAGGGGGAGCTGTCGTCGACCTCCATGGGCTGAATGAGATGGGCTGATGCTTCATTCGACATCCTGCTGCTCCCGCGAAGGAATCGAGGACCAAACAGGTTCATGCAAGTCCGGCGACCCGATTGGTTAAGGGTAGTGAAAGGATGGACCGCTTCACGTGCGTGTTGTTTGGTTGAGCTCGCACGCTGCGACACAGCTCGCAGATCCTGGCCACAAGCGACCGCATTCGGAATATGAGAGTTTTGAGAGTGGCACGCGGCACTGCTTGAGTGAGTTGAGCCCCCGCTTGCGTTCGGCATATCAGTTGCAATGGCTGCGTTCCTTTGCCCCATCAATCTTGTTTGTGACCGAACCCCGGCATTGAGCGAATGGATGGCTCTCATTGTGGATGGCGGATGCACACCGGTTTCATGATCCATCACTCATCTGGAGCACGTATCGTCTCAAGCCAGCCGAGCGGCTATCGGTCGCTGTCAACACGCATCCACGCACACGCTCACGTCGTGCCCTGGGTCGTGCTCAGTATTGCATCTTCGAGCTGCCATTGCCTCAGCAGCTGCCGCATTGCAAGAATGGTGGCGGGAAAGCGCTCGTCCAGTGTCCACCCAACCTCCACCTCCCTCTCACTTGTGTTAAGCACCACCCTCCGCCGTGCGAGAAAAGGGTGGAGGAGACCTCACACCTCCGCCGTGTCTCCCTCTCCCTACCTTATGTGTGTGTGCTGGATGTGTGGGTGTCTGTGATGTCTGCACCGGCAGATGTGTGATGGAGAGGACAGTGACAGTGTGTCTGGCATGGAGGAGGAGCCCCAGCCCCCCAAGAGGAAGAAGAAAGGCATCAAGGAGCGCGGCAAGGTGACACATCACCACATCCACACGGCCCCCCACACATTGACTGCTCATCCCTTCTCCTCCCTACCTTATGTGTGTGTGCTGGATGTGTGGGTGTCTGTGACGTCTGCACCGGCAGATGTGTGATGGAGAGGACAGTGACAGTGTGTCTGGCATGGAGGAGGAGCCCCAGCCCCCCAAGAGGAAGAAGAAAGGCATCAAGGAGCGCGGCAAGGTGACACATCACCACATCCACACGGCCCCCCACACATTGACTGCTCATCCCTTCTCCTCCCTACCTAATGTGTGTGTGCTGGATGTGTGGGTGTCCGGCCCGCATCACTCACATGGGTCAATCGGTATCGCTTCAGGAGGAAGCTGTGTACGGGGACGATGACAACGATGGTGACGATGACGACAGCGATGATGAGGACGAGCCGATGGATGATGGCGATGAGGACGAGGAGGACGACGAGATGGCGGGTGACGAGGAGGGCGACGAGACGAAGGAAGAGCGGGCAGCGGATCACCTCCGCAAGACGACACGAGCGACGCCCGGCGTGGTGCCCTCCTTCGACGCCCTCCCAATACAGAGGTCCACTGTTGGTGTCCTCCGCTGCCAGGATCATGTCACGTCGCTGCCGGGGGAGCGTGAGGAGCGCCGCAGGCGGCGTGAGCTCAAACGGGGCGGGCAGGTATAGAGTCTGAGGAGGCGATGTGTGGGATGCGGTGGGGTGGTCGTGTAGATGTAGAAGTAGATTGGTGAGGAAGGGGGGCGGCTGGATGGATGAGGGAGGATAGGATGCCATGCAGATGGATGGATGGATGGACGGATAGATGGACGGTGTGTGATATGGCGTTCTTAGATAGAGCGATGCGGCGTGCCAAGACACACACGGCAGAGCAGTAGAGAATATTGACTGATGATTCGTGTCCACACATACATGTACATGTACATGTATCGATCGCTAAGCCATGAACTGTCGCAATCAACGGCGCATGTACTGCAGCTATGAGTGGGTATCCACCATCTATTCGGCCCCGCTCGATGAGGCAGCAGCGGCCGCTCCGGCCGATGATGATGCAGCAGCAGCTGCCCCGGCCGATGAGGCCTTCTCCCTCTCCACGGCCGCTTGCAGGTCCTCGTTATACTGACAAAGGACATACACACATCGCATGGGTGGGCCAGTGCCTCACATCGCTGACGGACCTCCTCGAAGTATGGTAGCTGCTCCTCCCACGACAGAGCCACCCACGCCTCCCCTGGACAAAAAGGGAAAGGATGAGTGTGGGTGTGGGCTGTCCAGGACGTGGAGGGGCGTACTCAGTGACTGCTCCTTCCTCCAGGCGTCCATGAACAGTGGTTCCTTCCCCGCGTTGCCCTTGACCTGCTCCTTCCGCCACTCGAGCATCTCCTTGTCGATGTACCTGAGCTCTGCAGCAAGATAGAGAGGTGCAAGCCAGGACACCGGCAGATCTATCCATCCAATCCATGCATCTATCCATCCATCCATCCATAAGGCGAGTATCCGGCAATCTCTGACCGGGGTGTTTGAGATCCTTGCAGAGGTCGTGGGCCTTGTCGGTGGGCAAATCGCGGTACGTTCCGCCCTTTCTACCGGGTGTGACCAGACCATCGGCGAGGTTCGCCACCTTGACCCGCTTCTTGTCCTCCATCAGCCGACAAGTGTTTACGAGTGTTTTAGGGCAGAGTGTGTCGTGAAAGGGAATTGCGGAGTGCAGGGGCACCGCAGCTCAATGAGACGCAGAGCCCCTTGATGACTCAGTATTGTTCAGGGTCAACACATCGCGGCACACACAAAGACGCATTGCAGTTCTGTGAGACTTCAGCAAGGAGCGAGACAGTCAAAAAGGAGCAGTATTCATCAATCGGTCCAGCGGTGGTGGACGGGGGCGAGCCGGGGCAGTCATCGAATGGAAGCTACAAGAGTGTGATGCCAGCGGGCCGGCGTCTGCGGTCGAGCATAAGCCTATCGTCCATGACGTCCGCAATCGATCTGCAGAGCAATTTCATGGTGTATGATGTCCGTCCAAGGTATCTTCGGGCGCTCTCGGACCAGAAGCCACCGCAGCCCCATCGCCCCCCTCATTCAGCAGCACCACGACCACCGCCCGTTTGCAGTCGGTCGCACTCGTCTCCAGCCCGTCCTTTCGCCACTCGATGACGATCACATCCTCCTCCGCTGCGCTGGTGTCGGTGAGGGTGTCGTGGGGGAGATAACGTTCCCGTTCCAGCTCCGCGTCAACCACCTTTGTCAGCTGCTCCGCCGCCACCGTCATCAGGGCATACAGGGCGAATGACGAGAAGGATGGATGCGTCCGGCTTTGGGAAACGACGAGCGGGTCGCTCTCGCTGAAGGTCTTCAGGTATGGGTGACCCCGAGAGAGCTCCTCCTTAAAGGCTGTCCGGAACCGCAGCCCGTTGATGGTGCCACACAGCACTGGGCGGCGTGCGGTGTACCAGTCCTCGCACGCACAAGCCGCAATGCAGACGCTGAAGCAGAGTGTCCACGCCACGAGCACGAAGAGCAGCACGAGACAGCGGTCTTCCAGCGTCAGCTGCTGCATCTGTGGGTCAGGGTCGGGGTCCAGGATGACAGCAAGCGCTGGACTGCCGATCATGATCACGAGGATGTAGGAGATCACGAAGATGAAGTTAGTGCACCCTCGCGCGCAGCCGCTGGGGTGAAGCTCGACCGACTCGCGCTCCCCTGTCTGCAGCGCCATCGTAGTCGTCGTGCCGTTCTCTCTATCCTCACGGCAGAGGAGAGGGCCGATAGCTTTGTAGATGGCCATGGCTGCCGGCAGCTGATTGAATGTCTCCTTATCCGGCACAAGCGCCAGCACGGACTCGGCCGTCAGCACCAGGGGCAGCTGATCAATCATCTGGGAGCCGCTCGCCAGTCGGATGAGCGCATTCATCCGTGGCCCTGCCTGCTCCAGGACGTAGGCGCATCGAGAGAGGTAGTGAAGGCGGGAGAGGGGCTCGGGAAGGTCGATAGTGCGGTGCCTCTCCACGTCAATGAGGCCGGTGAGCTTCTGCTGAGCGAGAGATGAGTCGATGCGCCGCAAGAAGGCGGCCTCGTCCACGAGGTCCGTGCCATAGGCCTTGCTCACCGCCCGGGCCCTCACCAGTTCGTCAACAGGGAGATGCGGGAGGATGAGAGGCAGCACATTCTCCTCATCGACGGCAGCGGCATTGCTGCCCGTGACGACGACTGACAGCTCGGCATCATCCTTGACCCGGCCATAAGAAGAGCGGCGGCGTCGCGGCCTCCACAGCCAGCTCATATCTGGCATCACATCCACCAGGTGAGGCCGGTCCGCTACCGCTTGGGCTAACGCACCGGGGGGGATGAGCATCTTCAAATCTCAGACTCTGATGCACACAAATCACACACACAGACGGGCCGGCGCTCGTTTGCGAGCCGCCCCCCGTCTTCCTTTTGAGCTCGCAGCAGCCGTTTGCCATTGACGCGTTCGAGGACGTCCTTCTCATCGCGCTGTCCAGCAGGTGAGAGAGCATAGGATGACTTGTCTGTCTGTAACACCGTGACGGTGCTTGACAACAAGAACTCATTCTAACTCATCTCGCTGCTGTACCTTCGCGGCTGTGTCTGCCATGTTGTGCAGTTGTGTGCATCCCGTTTCACTTCACCCCTTCGTATCAACACATCCCTTTCGGCACTCAGCCTGAGAGCGAATCCCTATTCTGTCGCCGTCCGTCTGCCCGTCCTATCCCCGTACACGAGCCATTGCCGGTGCCGTGGTGGTAATCTGAGGCTATGCAGCGTCACCGATGTCGACAGCATTCACCCAAATCTGACTCACCGACCGTTTCATCCTCAAAGGACGACGACAACAACAGACCTGCACCTTCAGCCACTGCACCTTCAGCCACATCAGCAGCGGCAAGGATGGACATGCCTCCCCTCCGACCCCTCCCCGTCTACTGGGGCGTGTTCGTGGCTGGCGTGCTCATCATCAACATCCTCGCATCCTTATTCGATCCCGATTCGCGACCCTTCTTCCCCATTCCGCCCTCAAACCCTTCAGCAAGACAAGACATGCAGACCATGCCTGTCATCTCCAATCGGATACTGACAACTCGGCCATGCAATGATGGGGAGGGCGATTTTCTGGCGCCGAGGACGAGAGGGGCCGATCCCCCGTGCGACGGCCCGACTCGTGTCGAGAGCCACTTTGCGTTCTTTGTGGTGGGGATTGACGTCTCGAAGCGATTGCCTGAGTCGCGCAGAGGCCTGCCGCGGTATGCGGGGCGAGAGGCCGAGAGGAGATTCGGCCTGGAGGCTATCCAGCGATTGAAGAGTGCATGGAGAGTGAAGTTTATGCCGGCGATGGCGCAGCTGTCTCACGGTCAGCCGGTCAACCAGCAGCCACAGCCAATGGCGCCACAGATGACCACTGCGCAATGGCCCCCGCCTCCTCAGCAGCAGATGGGTGGTGCTCTCATGGCTGCTCAGCCCCTCGGCCCTGCTAATGCTCAGCCGATGAATGCCATGGGTGCCCCTCCCGCAATGCCATATCAGCCGATGGTGAATACTCCTGCCCAGCCGCCCCCTGCGTTCAGCCCTCAGCAGCCGCCACCACAAGTACAACCACAAGCGTCTCCCCCGCTCCCACCCCCTCCACCCGGCCTCCAAGCCGACTTGTGTGTGTGCTGCGCCGACGGATCGGAGACGCCCGCATAGCCAGAGATGAGACAGGTGTGGGAGTATGGCAGGGCCAGGTTGATGGTGCCCGACAGCCCTGACGCCTTGTGTGGCGTGTGGGAGAAGGCGTGCTCCCCGGTGGGCAGCAATCCTGTGGGGGCGCTGACCTACCGGCAGACCAAGGTGTTGTTTGGTCCGCGGGTGATGGCTGGTGGCTTTGGGCAGTTCTATATGTATGACCGATCGTTCCAGAGCACGGATGCCAAGACGTGCTTTGACGCCAACGCATTCGACAGCGGTACGAGTATGGCATGCCACAGCAACGCGACGAAGCAAACACACAAGCCACGCTTCCTCCTTCCCTGCCTGCCTCCTGTTCCCTTGCTAGTGCAAGAATTGGAGGGCGAGTTCAGCATCGTCGAGAGCACGGCTGACCCCTCTGGCCTCGGGCAGGTCTACAAGGTGCAGCTGGTGTGGTCGGCCATCTACCTCACACCCATGAGCGTGTCCTTTGCCGACGAGCTGGAGCAGAGCACGTGTGTGTGCGAGCAGTGGATGGGCAATGAGCCGCCCAAGAAGCAGGGTGAGAAGATGAAGTGGGCGGTGGGGGTGCGGCAGAAGGTGCTGGGGGTGGAGGGCATGTGCAGCCCCAGCCAGTGCGAGTACGTCCAGGCCTGGTGCGCCAAGTCCGAGCTCGGCAAATGTGGGTTTGAGCTGATATACCGCCTCTACAGGTACGGCGCCACCCAATAATGAGACACTACCCATCACGGTCTGTCTCTCTCTGTGTGTCCCTCTCTCTTTGTCACGTTGGTATGCCCGCAGCCAGGACCAGCACGTGCGAATCGAGAGTGTGGCGAGTGAAGACAATGCCTATCCCGGGGCGGGCCGCCCTGGGGACATAATGGAGGTGTACGAGCAGTCGCAGATATGCCCGATGCAGAACTTGGTGGATGACGCCAAGGCGACACTCGTCAAGGAGGCGAGCAGGAAGGACGTCAGCCAGTGAACGAACAAGCAGTGAGACCGATATCATGAACAGACAGGGGAGGGAGGGAGAAAGAAAGGAAGGAAGAAAGAAAGAAAGAAACAGGGAATGAGGCTGACCGACAGATAGACATTTGGCAATGAGACATTACACTGGGTGATGTACTAAGCTTTTTGCCGTCTCGTGTCGCAGTGTCATTCGTTGCTATTTGTCCGTGGCTGAGGGCTGGTCCTCTGATCGACGTGGGGCTGTGGTGTGGTTGCGTGTGCGGTGTATGTGGAGAGACCATCATGTGTCTGCATGTCGATGCATTATCACTTTGTGCATGTCATTGAAAAGCTCCTCGATGGGATGCACGAATCGGACCGATTTGTGCCTCCCTCCCTGCTGCCTCCCATCCTCCCCGCTGCACGCCCCCTTCCAGCCACACACCAAAGCAGCATCCCATCAAACCACCGACAACCCATCCCGGTCTTCTTCCCTGGGCAAACTAACTCATTTCTTCCGTTTCCGATCAAACACTGTCACCGACACACGGGGCTGCCCTCTCTGTGACCTTCTGAAGGACCTCTTAGCCTTGAATATGGCCTGCCGGGCATGCTCGCCTTGCCTCTCAGAGTCACAGGCCACAATCGCTCCAGTCGCGCTGATGTAACCACACACACGGGGCAGAGAGAGAGAGAGAGAGACCACTGATGCGAATGCAGAGCCGCGCCTGACTGAGCGGTGACCAGGTGGGTAACTGGGTATGCTTGCCTACTCGTAAGTGACGTCTCTTGTCTGGTCCCGGATAGTTTGTTGCTTCTTCCATTTCATCTCCCTCAAAGCAACCTGAGCCGCCTTGTCTGAACAAACAATCAAGCTGGATGACAGGATGCCGTTCTCTCCCTCTCTCTGCCCCGCGCCTCCCTCTCTCACCTTGCCAAAAGTATCGACGATTGGCACCGCTGTCACCAGGCTGAGCTTGGCGGCCGTCAGTGACACCTATCGTCTTGGGCTGTTGCTCACCCTCCCTTGCGTCGGTGGCATCCTCGTCATGAGCATCTGCGTCCGCATCAGCATCCCTTTCATCCTGGTGGCCCGATTCATCGTCGAGAGGGAATGCTGTAGGCAGGATCTTCTCGGATGCTGCCTGCTTCTCGGATGCTGCCCGTTTCTCTTGGACAAGCCACCGCAGCCTTTGGAGCGCCTCTTTCTTCGCCATTAACGATTGGATTAGCTGCTGCTGACCACCCTATGTTTGGTGGTGCAGGGTGCTCCCTGAAACCGATGCTGGACGTGCGGAGTCACTCCAGCCTTGTTTTGCTCTGATGGCGGATCCAAGCCCTTGCGATGTGATTTGTGTGTGCGTCGGTGGAAAGGTGTTCGAGTGCACGCGTCGGGTGCTCACAGCATTCCCAGGTCAGCGGCCAGCAGAGGAGAGGAGAGGGAGAGAAGACGTTCCACAGTGATGGATCTCATGCGCCGGTTCGTGTGTGTCGCCTGGTAGATTCGCTGCCAGGGCTGATGTTCAGCGGGCGGAATGACTCTCTCGTCAAGTGCAATGCAGACGGGCATCCCTTCTTAGACTATAACCCAATGGTAGGTATGCGATGCGCCACAGATCCATGCATAGAATCACACCACACACGCACACGAGGACATACACCGATGGATGGATGGATGTCTGTTTGCGAGCATATGTAGTGTTTCGAGCTGCTGTACCCGAAGCTGCAGCGCCAGGCCACGCTGCCGGAGGGCAGTGAGGAGGCCAAGCGCGGCGTCCGCACCTATGACGTGCCGGTAGACATGCGGGAGGAATTCAACGGTAACTAGGTGGGAGGGAGGGAGGGAGGGAGGGGGACACAACACCAGGCCAGACCAGACCAGACCAGACCAGAGCCTGCCTGTGGGCCATCTATCTGTGTGTGTGGTTCTCTGCAGGGTTCCTCGACCTAGTAAGCAGGCAGTGCCTGCAGACGTGCAGGCAGGCAGGGTGGCAGGCCTTCCTCGACGGACTCAATTGTTGTGTGTGCCCGTCAGATGAACATACCGCGATACGACTGCAAGGCCGGACAGTTTCCACTGCGGTCAGTGGCAGTGGATGGATGGATGGATGGATGGGCGGGGACGGGCAGTCGGACACTTCATCACTTCCAAATGGCTGCTTGTTTCACTCTTGTTTCTCTTCCTTCGTGTGTGTGTGTGTGTTGTATGGGGTTGCATTGCAGCATAGTGTATCTGAGCACCAACGTCAAGTGGAGTCCGAGCGACTCGAAGCTCTTCTTCGCGCAGGGCGTCGACAAGTTTGCCGTCTGCCTGGCCATCTACGACAAGCCCTCCTTCGCCATCCGCATTGACGTCCTCGACGGCAGGGGGCCGCAGAATCTGCCGACATGCACCATCTCCCTGGGGACCAAGGAGCCCTCCTACTCCAGCCGATGGGTCAATGACGAGGTGGGTGGGATGGAGGGGCGTGTGCGTGTGTCGCCAGGAGTCTGCGTGTGTGTGTCTTGTGTTTCTCTCAGCCCCGTGATGCGCCCACGGCGGCGTCGATGGAGCAGGAGTTCAGACGAGACTCTCTGGTGGTCGCTGTGCGGCCCACCAGAACGAAAGATAGTGTGTCAGGCGTCAGAGGCACCCGGCTGCTCTCACTCAAGGTGGGCGCCATCGACCCACACGTCGATGAAACAAACGGATGAATGGACGGGTGGACACGTGTGTGTGTGTGTGTGTGTCTGTGTTTGTGTGTGTGTGTGTGAAGGTTGACCGTGAGAATCGTGTGTATCGGTTGAAGACGAGCCACCACACCCTGGACGGCAAGAGGCCCGCCGTCCTCCAGCTGACCTTCGACTTCGGCAACAACCTTCGCGAGGACTACGTCCTCAAGGTACACACACTACGTGTGAGCGAGACAGACAGACAGACAGACACACACAAACATGCCGCACACACACTCATCTGGTCGTGTCAGATGAGCTATGACGACAAGTGCCGGAAGACCCAGTACTACTACAAGCAGCTGATGCACGAGGAGGACCTCGAGGACGATAGCGTCATCCTCCCATGACTGGCCTATCTTTCTTCCCCACCCAGCCAGCCTTCATCGCAACACCTCAGTCTATCGCATCTCCCCAGCTTTGTTCAGGCAGACATTGCGTGCGTCCACCCATCCACGTGATTTTCTGCCTGTGCACGACGGAGAAGCGCGTGGACGGGTGGATGGATCGGCGTCATCTGTGTGTGAAAAAGCCCGGAATGGATGGATCGAGTGATTTGTCGACGTGATGTGTCGGGGTTGAGCCGTTTCCTTTTCTGCCAGCTGGTGCAGCGGTGCATCATGATGGATGGATGGCGCTGCGGGTGTGAGTTTATTTGTTTCTATCGTGTGTGTGCCGATCTGCTGCCGAGCTGCAGCTGTCTTAGCTAGCTATACATACAGACATCCGGCCGCCTATGCATCGCACTGCACGCGAATTCTGCTGCATGCATATGTCGCCGTGCTTCTTGCGTGCGCCCGTCGACCAGGACGGCAGTCGACGGGCGCACGCAAGAAGCACGGCGACACATAGCTGTCTGTATGACTTGACTCACTGATGGAATTGATTGATGAGTGTTAGAAGCACATGTGACCGATGCGAGATGGAATGATTGTCATTGCATTCTCAGCGACGGTCCGTCAAGGGTTTGACGAGCGAACTCCCTGCAAGCCAGGCGCAACCTTCCTTACCAAACAGGCACACAGGCACACGCAGAATGCAAGGCCGAGCGGATCTCCAAGCTCAGTAGATCTGACTCGCAGAGGAGGAGGAAGGAAACCTCCCTTGCGCGAAGATGGGCACGATTGGGATAAAGGACGAGAAGCTTCTGGAAGCCATGGAGAAGCTTCCCGAGACTGTCCAAAGGCTCTGGCCAGATGAGAAGGATCCACATCGTCGACAGGCACACACACACAAAACACACAAGACAGCAAGGCACACAGACGCACGTCATCTCTCTGTGTGTGTCAGATGCTGGAGGCGCTCGAGTCATTAAGCCCCCGCGGCCGTGTCATCCCTGGCAGGTCTGTCCCGAGAATGACGGATGAGCAGCTTAAAGAGAGGCTCCCGAGGTTGCTGCTGATCGGTGGGTGAACGTGCACAGATGGGGAGCACACACACAGACGCCGCAGACCGCCGCGCTGTGTCTGTCGTCTGTCTAGGTGTTCCTCCTGAATCCGACATGCCTTCACACCAGAGGGAGAAGCCCGCCAACGACATTACCAAGAAGAGAAAGAAGGATGAGGACTGAGTGAGTAATGTCGGGAGGCGCAGACAGCAGGTGAGTGAGTGAGACCATATTGGCTGACTGACCAACATCGCATCGCATCGCGGGAGTTAGTTGTTTTCTTTGCTTGTGATCGAGTGGTGTGTCCTGTACAGGTGCTGATTGCGTTGCGTGTGGGCTCGTCCATCCTCGTGTTAGCAGCCTCTCTTGTGTGTCTTTTTTCGCTGCTGTGTGCGGACACTTTTTATGTAAAGTCTGTGTGTGTGGCCTCGTGTAAGTACTAAGGCAGCAGCGCACGATCGAATATATACTGCGCTGCGTGCACTGCTCCGTCTGACCGGCTCTCTTGGCGCCGTGTGCGTGTGTTGCCGTGTGAACTAGCTTGCCTTTTGAGAGGTCAATTGGCGCACTTACTCTAATTGGAAGCGATGCTGTGAATGTCGAGCTGTCGTCGTGGTCTCTGTGTATCTATAGTGTTACTTCCACCACTGCTCCAAGTGCTGGTGTGCTTACCGGAAGCCGTCAGCATTTGAGACAGTGATGCATGTGAATGAGTAGAGGAACTGCTAGCTGCTTGTGCGCCATGTGGCTATGTGGTGCTCATGAGTGGTGTGTCCTGTACAGGTGCTGATTGCGTTGCGTGTGAGCCCGTTCATCCTCGTATTAGCAGCCTCTCTTGTGTGTCTTTCTCCTTCAGACAGACATGCCGTGTGTCCACCCATCACACCCATGCCCGCGCCTTTCTGCCTGTGCACGAGAGAAGAGCGCGTGGACGGGTGGATGGATCGGCGCCATGTGTGTGTGAACAAGGCCGGGATGGATGGATGGATGGATGGATGGATTGGTTGATTTGTCGACGTCATGTGCTGGCGTTGAGCCCTTTGTTTTCATGCAGCCTGGTGGTGCATTATGATGGATGGCGCTGCGGGCGTGAGTTTTCTATCGTGTGCCGATCTGCTGCGGAGCTGTAGCTAGAGAGAGGGAGTGTGTGTGTGTGTGTGTGTGCGAATCTGTCTATCTCTGTGGACGATTCAATCATCATGTGCACGCGAAAGCTGCTGCATAGCTGTGTGACCCAGTGCATGATGGATGGAATGATTCTCATTGCAAATGCGACTCGCAACGGGTGATCGTGCCTGCATCAGCACAGGCCAGCACAGGAAGCCTGCGGCCCCTTCGCAATTCTAAGCTTGCAGCTGCAGCCGAAGAGTTCCTTTCCTCATTTTCCCTCTTTCCCCCTTCCCATCTGCGGCTGCTGCATCATCTGCGTGTGGAGATCTGGAGAAGATAAGAGCAGGGGAGGAAATACTGGGACCTTTTCGAGGCTGTGGCCGTTAGAGCCCCCTTGTCACGGCAGGCGGAGCATGTGAGAGGCCTTCCCACGACGCAGCAACCTCGGCCGCCGCTCACCCGCGGTTTTCCCGCCCTTTCGTCCCTCCCTCTTCAGTCGCCGTCTGCCTGCCTGCCCTCTGCCGCCTGAGCTGCCCTTCCGCGTTGGAGAGACGAGGTGGGTGCTGCTGTATCAGATCTGGCATGAGAGTTGAGGCTATATGCCACCACGGCCAGCAGGGGCAGTGGAGCCGCACAACACAGTGAGGTCCGACGGCTGGCCCTCTCAGCAGTGTCGTCATTGCCTCCCCTGCCAGCACCTGCCCTCGTCGCCCTCGTCTCTTCCTCAACTGCCCCTTGCTTTGCGCCCATATGCTGCCCCTGTCAAATGGGCTTTGCGCGTCAAGCTGCTGACACCACTGCTGCTCGTCGCCGCCACTCTGCTGCTCTTCAGTCTCGCCAACATGATCGCCGCAGACAACCCACCACACGCCAGACGCAGGAAGGATGGGGGAGGGGGTGCCAGTGGCACGGGCACCACAGCACGCCCCCCGCCGTCGGCATCAGTGTCAGGGACGACCATTGCGCCACCGATCCGGCCGCCCGTGAGCGTCGTCCCCCTCTCCACCAGCATCCCTGCCTTGTCATTGTCGTCCGACCCCATCACCCTCCCGCCCCCCGCCCTGTCTAATTCGTCACACGTGACGCTGCTCGCGAGTCTGCCGCACAAGACCAGCTACGGGCCTGCAGCAGTGGATATGCTGCAGGCCGCCCTGGGTGCCCTGGGTGCTGCCGGCATATGCGGCAACACCACGGCGGCCAACTGCACATTGACAGGTGCCGCTTCGCTGAAGGGGCCGTGCACGCCGTGCAACCGCAACCTGACGACGCCCTTCGAGCTGTGTCGCGGGCTCGTGGACCTCAACTGCCGGCCGAGGATACGCAACGACATCCCAGACTGGCGGCTGGATGACGTCGAGAGGAGGGCACGGATCGGACAACACCAAGGTGAGTGAGGGGGACGACGGGAAATGTGGAACAGGCTGACATGAAAATCCGCGACATTCTCTCTGTCTGCTTATCTGTCTTGTCCATTTGTCTGTTGTGTGCTACCCCAACCAAGGTCAATCGCCGCGCGACACCACACCTGACCCCCTTGCGTGGCGCGAGCGGCCCAACATAGTGCGGCCGGTGCGGCCGGGGTGGGAGGACACCCCCGGCAACCCCGTGCTGCTGCAGCGGCCGGCCTTCACCGACCGCATCGTCCCGGAGCCACGCATCAACAGCCCCCCCGCCGGCTTCCCGCGCGTCAACAACTGGACGCATGTGTCGAACAAGATTGAGGAGGCGGGGGACATCAACGAGGCCAACCTGGCCCGGGCGGACATGCACCACGAGAGGATCGCGTCCATGCTCGACCAGGCCGAGGACCTGGAGGACGACATGGCCGCGATGGCCACACAGCCGCCTGCCGATGGTGATGACGGCAACGGCACAGACGGCACACGGCGACTCACATGGCTGGAGAGTATCGATGTCGAGAGTGCTGACCACGACATCCTGCTGTTCCCCTCCCACTCCCCCTCTCCCCTCCCCTCCACCCCTGCACACACAGTTCCAGTCACAGTGGCTGCACCGCCCCCACCCACACCCACACCTACCAACAGCACCGCCCACGTGGCGCCGGCAAACGACGTGCACCCGTCCAGCCGCCCCCCAGCCACAAGGAGACAAGGCAGCCTTCGGGGGGCGGGCATCGGCGCCAACCACCCACCCAAAGCCGAGAGTGGAGATGAGGGTCAAGGTCAGAGTGAGAGGGAGGGAGAGGGTGAGTCGGTCGAGAGGGTGTGGGGGTACCCTTGGCTGCGGTGGCTGGGTATAAGGACAGGGTGTGAGGTGATGGACCTGCGGTGTCGTCCGGTGCCTGGGTCGGAGCTCAACATGTTCAGGAAGAGGGCCTACCAGTACAAACAACGAGTCGCGCAAAGCCAAGGTACGCGAGGGAGTCAGTGATCCAGCGAAAGCACCAACATGGCTCAAATGCTCTGTTCCCCGCCCCCCCC